GATCCGCCCAGAAAAAATTGAACACCCTGTGTGACTGCCAATATTTTTATTTTGTCGAGCTCGAGTAATTAGGTAATATTATAGAAATTTAGATTCCTATCAGTTTCCTCTGTTTCCTCAAGATATCTCAATGAAGAAAGGTATGTCGACGACGAAATAAAACACCTTACAACTGTGTTAGAAGCGAACGGCTACGACAGAGAAGACGTAATCCGCCCTACGCGTTAAGTACGCGCGAACCCGCCATTACAGAAAGTGCGTGAAAAATCAGCACTATGAAGGACATGGCAGAAATGAGAATTTCAGTTTCAGTTAATACGTCAAGAAAAGTACTTCGGCCACGCCACTGAAAATGAATGCCGCAGTTGCAGTTGAAAAGTTTGGATATTGTAACCAAGAAGACCATGGCAAAACGCGGAAATCAACCAAAAAATTGACGCCAGCCGTGAAAGCCTATACCAAAAAAGATTTCTATACAAAGATGTGTAGGTCATGCAAAAAAGTTACTTCAGACACAAAGAAAAGCCTTCTTTTATATGGAAGTAGAAAGCCAAACCTACATTTTGTATTATATTAGTGATTATTTATATTATAATGTTTGTTTATTATACAAATATGTAATGTTATATGTATTTCATGTAGCATAATATATGGGAACCTTAACTCTTCTCTTGCAACAGTGATGAAGTTTAAGTAACATCGCAATATAATTTTTCAAAAAATAATTTTCTTTGGGTAAGTTATTTGCAGTTTCAGAATTATTTTGATATCGAATTCTACAAATATAATAATTGTGATATCTTCTGGTGGTTTTAAGAGTCCTCCTTTATATTTTCTGTTCAACTGCTAAAACGTGAAAACATCTTTTGAATTGGATGTAATTGTCTGGTACCACATTTAAATTTTTTCAAATTTAAAAAGTAATCAACAGTAAAAGGAACACACTGCTTAACAAAGAAATCAAGCGAACACAATATAACAACCACCAAATAATCAGTAATGTATGTGTGCAACGAACACTATCCAACGCTCTATGTCGAAAGTAAGTAACTAAATAAATATTAGGTTGTTTCGTATTCAAAAAACGCTTTATTGTGAGATTTTCACTGAACAGTTTTACGAAAACGCAACACCATACATACATCATTCCATACATTGATGCTGTTTATTTTTTCCAACATCTTTTTTTTGCCTATTTTCAGTTTATTATTATATGATGTAGTTAAGCGATTATTGACCAGTTTTTCAAATTGAACCAAAGCGCATCCGAAACAGATCGAAAAATTAACAAGGCATTTGTCAATGATAGTGTTAATGTACGCACTGTTCGACGTTGGTTTGCGAAATTTCATTCCGGAGATTTCAGCCTCAATGACCCCTGAAGTGATCGACCTACAGTACTCTAGGACGAGTATTTGAGGACCCTGGTGAAGACTGACCCATCACAAACTGTACATTGGATGGCGGAAGAACAGGACGTCAGCTCCCATGCGGTTTTTGATGGTTTAAAACATATTGGAAAAATCGGAAAGCTTAAAAATTGGGTGCCTCACGATTTGAACTATCGACAAAAATTGTTAGCTTTCGAGGTCTGTTCTTTGCTTTTGCGCAACCAAAGTGATCCTTGTGATGAAAAGTGGAATCTCTTCGACAATAGGAGACGTTCAGGATAGTGGTTGGACACCCAGGCATTTTCCGAAGGCGAAAACCCACCAAAAAAAAACGATAGTTACTGTATGGTGGTCAGCGACTGGTGTAATCACTACATATAAAACGAAGTGGCTCCCTTAAAAAGGTCTACGAAAAATTCCGCGATGGTATATGTCTATCTATTAGGGATGACCCAAAGTAACCATTTTTTATCCTTTACTTTTTTACGAAGCGATTTTAAGCAATGCAGCAATAATCTTCATCTAATTAAGGGATTCTATAATATGGAAAAGGAAACAGATTAGTGTCACTATTTTTCAGGTTCGAAGGCCGTAGATTTTTGTAATTTCTTTCTGACGTTTCGCTGGCGCGAGTGGCTAGCTTCTTCAGAGGTTTATACATTCTGAATTTCTATCCGATGACAGAAAATTACGGTTTCGTAACGCGTATTTATGCTGTGTCAGGTAATATGGAGTGATAATACCTGTACCTGAAACAGGTAGTTTGTCGTTAACATTCCTTGGCTCTTTTCTACCTGCTACCATGCTGTTTGATATCCTTGAATTTCTTAGAATGGGATTCCATATTCGATTGAGGTTCACCGCTTCTTCTTTTCTGTTGAAATTATTCGTGTGTTTGTGGATCTCTATTGCCTCCCGTACCAGTCGGCTATAATATCCCTGGTTGGGGGCAATGAGTTCTGTTTTTTCAGACAGAGTCTTATGGTTTCCTTCACTGAGTGCGTGTTCTGCCACAGCAAACTTGTCTGTTTGACCCAGTGTGCAGTTTTTTTCATGCTCCTTCAACCTTTTCCCATGGATCTTTTGGTGGTTCCGATATAAACCTTCCCACAAGTGCACGGTATGCGATAGACCCCTGTTGCTGATAGTAGGTCCCTTTTGTCTTTTGCCGATCTGAGTCTTTGTTGAATCTTCCTGGTGGGTTTGAAAATTGTTTTAATGTCGTGTTGCCCCAATAGTTTTCCAATTCTGTCTGTGACCCTATAGATATACGGTAGATACGAGCGTGCAACCGTCTGATCCTTCTCCCCGTTTTGAACCGTATGACTCTTCTGTTTCATGGCTTTGTTGATTTCGGGTGCACTGTGTCCATTCAATCTCAAGGTCACTCGAAGGTGTTCTAGTTCTTCCTCTAGATGCTTTGGTTCACATATTCTTCGAGCCTGTTCCGTTAGAGTGGAGATGACTCCTCTCCTGGCTAGGATGGTGGTTCGGTGTGCAGATACCTATCCATGATTTATGGACTTCTTGCAGAATCTTCCAGGATTGGCTCACTCTAAGGCGTTTATTCACCCTTCAAAGCTTGATACCAAACAGATGTTGGACTATAGTAAGGATGAACTACGATGTCTAACAGGCCTTCTCACAGGTCACTGTCATTTGAATCATCATATGCAGAGAAGCAGAGACTCGGACTGTCGCCTCTGTTTGGAAAATGAGAAAACAGAAAAGCACATACTTTGTGCCTGCACCGCTGCCGCTGGTGTTAGAGTTCAGCACACTTACCATCTGACTTAAAAGACCACTCACCATAATAATCGGCTTCGTTAATAAGCTGGGTTTATTTGGTCGAGTGTGAATAGGTGTGAGCCACAATAAACCCTTGCGGGTTGAGGTGGAGGGTCGAATAGACCCACTCACTTTGGACCTAACCTAACCTATCCGTGTGCGTGGGTTTTCGATACACTTTTTGGATTAGTCTAGCACCACCTCGTTCGATCAGTACATCTAGGAATGCTATCCGCTGATCCTGCTCAGTCTCCATACTGTACTTGATGCTTAGGTGTTGATTGTTCAAGTGGTCTAGGAAAAGGTTCAGAGTGTCTCTCCCATGTTTCCAGATGACGAAGGTGTCATCCACGTAACGTAGACACGAAGTCGGTTTCAATTCAAAGGTGTCGAGGGCTTTCTCTTAAAAACGTTCCATGAAGTAATTGGCCATCACTGGGCTGAGTGTACTTCCCATCGCCACGCCATCTAGTTGTTCATAGAAGTTTCCCCTCCATTGAAAGTAACTTCCTGTGAAACATGCTATTAAGAGTTCGACGCTATCACTCGGAAACACGTGGGCCTTTCAGAGAGTCTTCCAGTGGGACATTGGTAAACAATCGAAGCTGACCAAGATATTATTGGGCTCCAGCGTTAAGACCCTAATTTTATCAACGAAGTCCATCGAATCCTTTACGTAGGAGTTTGTCTTTCCTACATGACTAGGAGCGTGGCTAGATGCTTCGCCTGGTGGTAGGTTGGTGAGCCTGGGGCACTGACTATTGGTCTCGGTGGCATGTTAGTTTTGTGTACTTTAGGAAGACCCTAGAGCCTGGGTGGAACCGCTTCAGTTCTGAGAATTGTTCTCTGTATGGCATTTGACAATGAGAAAGATTTAATGATTTTGTTAAAAATTTTCATCTTTGATTGTGTTGGATCCCATATTTTTTCAAATGTCCATTTTCCGAAAATCTGAGTTTTCGAATAAATTAAATGTGGAAGGTAGAATTAATATAAGAAAACTCCATCCAGGGTTCACGATTATCACAAATTGTTTGTTTTCTCAAGGATTCAGTATCATTGAACTATGAATTAGACCAATCACATGGCACTGACCGCCATATGCAGTCAAAAATGGCATTGCTCCCCTAAGAAAATTGTTATTTCTTATGAAGTTGAAAACCGCAAAAAACTATTATTACATATATATTATTTCATGCTCTATCCAAAACAAGATAAATGGTTGAAATTTCAGAGGCAGTAGTTTTTCACGTAATTTCAAAGATGGCACTTCATACGGCATCCCTCATTACACCTCTTCTTAATAATATATCTGGTAAAAAAATAAGTGTTTTCGATAACCATATACCCTCTACGAACAGTAACACTCAGAAGTCGAAACTTATGAGTACTAAGGATTAACAAGTTCTTTCATTTTAACGTGCGATACTTAGTACAGGCTAGGAAATATCAGTGTTGTCAATCATGTAACCTCTGAAAACTGACAAAAACTTACCACCATTTTCAAGTGAATACGGTGTAGATATTTCAAAAACTTTTAGATTTCACTGCATTCAATAAAATATTGATTGATTATAAATCATCTAGTATATGAAAAAATCATCTAGTATAGGAAAAGTTTATATTTTTCATTCTACGATTATGAAAAATTAAACCAAAAATAATATACTCATTGAATATTTCAAACAACATGAAACTTGCAAAAAAATGGTTAGTTACTTTAGGAATACCTATTGATGAATTTACTTTGAAATATTTCAGACGCGCAAAAAAATATGTAGTTTTCATTTGTTTATGAGTTATACATTGAAGTGGAATGTGTGATTGGATGTTTTTCAATTTAAACAACATAATTACCATTCCCGTCATTTTTACACTCTTTAATCTCTCTTTCAGTTACCACTTTTTATTTTGTATCAATCGATAGAACTTTGGGAATAGAGTAGTGGGGGAACTCAAATAATTTCTTGAAATTGTTAGTACTGAGCGTTTCTTTGGTATATATAATTTCGTCTATTCCGCCGATTTCGGTTGGAAAACAAAAAACAACAATATATTAATGGAAAGTGTTGACAGGAAACAGTGAGCTTGAAATAGTTATCAAGAGTTCAGTGGCGTACAAAACTGAAATAGTGGAGTGATATATTGGGATAATTTTTTTAAAGTATTTTATTTGGTAGTAATAAAATTATATAATTTCAACTTGTTTTACTGACGTACTTTCAAAATATTCCACCACCAAACAAATCATATAAAAAAATTGAAAGTCTACTATGCAAGATCTTAAAACTTTTTTATTGATACTATTGCTGCAGAGAACCTTTTGTTGGAGAATCATAAGAACTAAACCAATGAAATTGGTTAAACGTCACAATGTATCGTGACGCCTGAAGATACTATTGTATGGCGACACAAGTCTTGCCGTTTTATAAACTGTGTGGAAGAAATCTCACATTGAAGAGTTTTTTGAATACGTAATGAACTTGAATTTCATCACGTAGCACTAATATTGTTAAAATGTGTAATCTGACCTTACTTACTATTTTGATATCTAAATACTCCTGAAAGTGTGAAACAGGTATAATTATGTTCATTTTTGAAGTACTTAGTTCTCTATTATGCAACATGTTGTTTAAAATGTTTTCTAAATAACTATTTCTATGAAATTAATTTAAATTTCAGCAATGGAACGAGAGTTTTCCACAAATCCTAGCAACATAACTATTATAGAAACTCAACTGGGAGTTCTCCAATGCGGTATACATTCAACACCACCTGCTCATATTCAATGGGAATTCAATAGTAACCTTATTCTACCTCAGCAAACAAGGTAACATAATTTTCAAATTTTCTAATGTATATGTATGTGCTGCTTTATGTGTGAACACTCAGTTAAGCTGTTATGAAAAGAAATTTTGATATTTCGGTAGGAAATATATCCTTTTAAAATGCTTGAAAGTTTTACAAAAAAATTTTAATACTGTGAGGAATTGTTTCATGTGTTGATGAATATCTGAAACAAACTTTAACGTGAGTTATAAGTAGAAATAGAAATGATAACTATTAAGATAAGACGTCCCTGTGAGGTATTATTATTGGCTGAGGTTCAGTTAAGAATATACACCACAAAAATTAACGTATAGATGATATGAAAATAAACAAAACGCACAAAGAGCTACTTAATATCCTAATAAAAAATGATAAAATTAAGTTATACAAAAACAGAATAACTCATGGTAACATTCAATAAATCTAGAATACAGTGAAAGAATTATCTCCAATTAAAAAACACAACTATATAAACCAAATAGAGGATGGAGATAAAACTATCGACAACAAATTAGAACTGGCAAATTTTTTCAATGAACATTATTATATATTTAGGTCAAAAGTACGAGAACAAATTGAAAACTATTTCTACTCCTCTTACGGGAATTCAGGCACAGTCCTCAATATGTTTGTATCCTTACAAGCGACGATAAAATGATAGGAACTTCGAAACCTAAATTACAAACACATTACCCTAATCAGTAATATTGCGAAAACTTTTGAAAGTTCGTATAGTCAGTTAACTTAATAAAAATATTTTTTATCGCAAAAACAATGAATGATTCTGTCGAAAGTTTGTAGTAATTTAGATGAAAGAGAACAATCGTTGGTGGTTTTTTTAGATTTTGCAAGGATACGGTTAATCATGCACAACTCTTGTATGATGTGGGATTCAGAGGAAACACCCTGAAGTTGAAAGTTATATAATTAAAATTACTACTAATATTATAATAGCTATACATGAGAGTTTAAAGCATCCTGACTGCAACTTCAACATCAAAAATTTTCCATCACGTAAAGATTTTGAATTATAGTTATTTTTATTTTATACAAAAATGTTCACATATTATAGGGAAATATAAGATCAAAACAAGAAAAAAAACAATATATTTCGAGGATAACAGACTTTTTTTACAATACACATGAAAAAATATTCAAATGAAGTCTTTTGTGCATAACCTTTTTTCAAATGTTGACTTTTGTTTATATATTTCATCGTTTTCCCTCATAAGGAACCATCAATAATTCCCCATGATTGCTGCTTCCCATCTGCCTTGGTAACGTTGCTCCATTGTCAGTATGTCTTGGCGGAACCTTTCCCCTTGTTCGTCACTGACAGCACCCAAATTTTCTGGGAAAAAATTCAAATGGGAGTGCAAGAAATGGATTCTGAGAGACATGCGACATCCCATTCTGCAGTATTTTTCAAGGAGTTCTTCTATAAGTGTTTCACAATTTTCTACTTTCTTGTTCCCTAAAAACTCCGAAACAATTCTTTTGAAAGAACTCCACGCAGCTAATTCAACATTACTTAATTTTTGATCAAACTGTCGATCAATTAGTAGTTTTCTAATTTGTGGTCCAACAAATATACCTTCCTTGAGCTTTGCATCACTTAATTTTGGAAAAACGTGTTTAAGATATTTAAACGCATCACCTTTGTCTAATGCTTTTACAAAATTTTTCATTAACCACAGTTTAATTTGTAATGGAGGTAATAAAACGCTTTTGGGATTAACAAGAGGTTATTCTTCACGTTAGCTTGACCTGGAATATATTTATCTCTCGGAGGACATTCTTTCACTTGATAATGGCTCTGTGTTGCCCTACTGTTCCAAAGGCAAAGAAAACAGCAAAACTTCGTAAATCCGCCCTGAAGACCTAGTAATAGTCCTATGACTTCTAGATCACCACATATTTGCCACTTATACGTATTATAACTTATTGCATTTAGAATAAGTGACATACTTTCGTATGTTTTCTTCATGGCAACTGCATAATGTGCAAGAGGAGAGGTTCTTTTGTTACCATTATGGAGCAGAACGGCTTTTAAACTTGTTTTAGACGAATCCATATATAAACGCCATTCGTCTGGGTTATGTGTAAATCCTAATTTTTCCATCACACCATTATGATTTACACAAAAACACTTTTATCCGGCACAGTTAAAAACGAGGATAGCTCATGGTTACGGTTCCTAAATATTGCAACTTTAGTTTTAGGGGCTAGTAAATTCCATTGTCGTAATCTAGACCCTAATAGTTCAGCATTCTCCTTGGACATGTAGAGGTCCCGAACTAGGTCATTTAATTCAGGTTTTTCGATTAAATGGGGTGTTCTTCCTTCACCCTCGGAAAAATAAGAACCGTCTTTTTCTGGCACATCTTAAGAACATGCCTGGTCATCATAAATTTCCAAATCTTCCTCCCAATTTGCCGGGGATGTTGGAACTGGTAAACCTTCTCCATGAAGAACTGGCCTTCTTGAGGAAAGAATGTCCTGATATACAATTTTGTGTTTGCTCTTTCTTGAAAAACCAGACACGTTTGTCACTTCGAGTATCGGAAGTTCGAGAAGCGGCGTTACAAGTCTCATATACAGCGGAAGCAGATTCGAATACTGGACAGAGCCGCTGTGTTGCCAGATTTTAAAGATTTTCCTCAATTTACAGGAAAAGTAAATTTGGAATGTCGTGTTCATTAAATGTTTGTGAAAAAAACCATAACTTAAAAATCTTACGTGTAAGAAAATTTTTACCATTATTTTCGCATTTAGGGACCAAAAATTGACAAAAAACTGTCTTTGGCATTACAGTCGTAAATTGGCTGTAAACTAGTGTTATTTTTTCTTCGCGTAGCAATAAATCAATGAAAATTCAAAAATAAACTCCTAAAACAAATCGATCACACGTATAATACCAGGACTAAAATTAACAACATGATTCGTACCAGTCATGCATCAACAAGTCCAGGACAAAGAGGATATACTACTAACCAAAATACAAGAATATATAACAGTCTTCTCAAAAGAACACAAGAGTACAATTACATCATATGATACAAAAAACACACTAAATGATACCTCTCAACATCAGAAAGAATGATAATTCACAAAATAATGAATCCCAAATCATATTAATACATTAACCAAACACAAGTTCTCTTCATACACATACCTATTATTCTATTGAGAATTACACTGTTAATTTTAAAGTAAAGTATATAGTTGTGTTAGTTTTAATTTTTAGTAAGTAATATATACTTTAAATCGAAATATCATGGTGGAATACTAGAAAACCTATTTTATATAATATACCTAAGTAATAGCAGTTGTTAACAGTTTTTCCACGCGCCGGCTTTGCTTTAGTGGGAAATGAATGTAATTCAGCAGAGAAACTCATTTTGAAATCAAGAAAGCAATCGGGAACAGCTCCCGCCGTCTCTCTTGGTTGAATCCGCAAGATACCTAAATATTCAGAGAAATATTTTATCATTTTGCAGGTGTGATTGATTTGTGTGAGGTTGTTTACACTATTTGAGATCACGGTTTGTTAAACTTTTCGATACAAAGCTGTTCATTTGTTATATGTAGAATTGTGTGTATATCTAGAAAGCAACCACAAACCTAATAATAAACAGGTCATAGAAACATGTTTATTGACTGAAATTTGCCAAATTAGTAACTTGAAAAATAAAGAGAAAAATCATAGAAACAGTGTTTTGGGTTTATGTCACAGTAAGTGAAACGATCCCTAGAAAATTATAGACATGACTTTATCACGTATATTTACAAATACAGCATATTTATGCAACTCAGAGAACGACACTGGGTCAAGAAAACTCATCTATCTCGATGAAAGTCCATCTCCTCTACTGTTTGAAAAATAAGGTATCTAGGGTCACGCTTCTTATCAGTTATAAAATTCAACTTACCTCTGAAATAAATAAGATATTTTTTATGTTTCATTGTTTTTTCTTCTAGATATGTTCCTTTGCCCAATGGGGTTCTGTTAATTAAGAAGACTCAGATTTCCGATTCTGGAACTTATAGGTACGTATCTTACTGTAACAACCAATGCACCTACCTATCTCCATCAATTTCAGATGTAAAGCAACCAATAGGATACTTAATAAAGTTATATATAGTAAAATAGCTGTAATGACAGTATTGTCTGAAATGAATAAGACTCTGGCACCAGTTTTCCTACCTCTTCATAATTTGTCGAACAATACTTTTAACCTTGATGAACAAATGATTCTGTACTGTGCTGTGATGGGATGGCCTACTCCTACCATACAATGGTTCAAAGGTAAAAAATTAACATTATGCAATAGTTAATTATGAACACTTTTAAAATTGGCCATTTTGGCTTATTTTAACAATCCAAAATTATGAAAAATAGTGGTACACTAGATTCACTTCACCAAAACTATTTATGTACTCTGAGGTATGTTGAATTTGGTCGTGGGAATTTTTTTGAGCATCGAACATGTAAAATCTGAAATTCATTTCATTAGATTTATTTTCGATTTTTTTCAATATGACCATTAATTTTTACGAGGCATGAACGGAGACCAGTAATTTTCAGTCCATCTGATGAAGATTAGAGAACAAAATGCCTCATACTTCAACTAGAAAATTTAAAATTATCACTATTGTTGTGAGTCATGCCCTAAAGAAAATAACGCCGCCACCGTTGGTGGCCATAAATCAACTGTGACGTGGTCAAGACCGCGCACACACAGTAGAATAATACAACCAGTAGGCTCTCTTACCATGTGATACGCCCGAGTTGCCGGGGACCTTCAACTGCTCTGAGGATGAGATTCTCATCCAACGCGTTCAGTGCTGTAGTATCGAAGAATTCGACGGTACCACGGGCATAGGATTAGTTATAATAAATGGTCGGAAATTGATATTGTGTTTAGTTTATTCGCTATTGTTATTATGGTTTTTAGTTTTTGTAGTTGGTTATAAGTAACTTACCACAAAATCTTCTATAATATCATTAAATTTCGTTTTTATATGAGCGCACGCCTATGGTATAAGAATGAAATTAGCTCCGCACTTCGTTTCGAGGTCACCAAGAACTTTCTGAATTTATGAATGAAAGTAGTGGGAGTGGACTTGCTGGTTGATGTTTACTATGGCGCGAACTCTCGATTCTAGTCTTTGCACCGGCTTCGATGGAATCCTGGCGAATACCCCACCGGCTTCGATGGATTTCTGAGGAATTCTCCACTGGTTTCGGGATAGTTCGTTTGCCGCATATAAACGTTATCCACGAGCATATCAAGATAAATATCTTACGTTGTTGTAGATGTTAAGGACAATGTCTACCACGCTGACGTCCTGGGTTCGATTCTCATAACTATAAACTTTTTTTACGCCGATGGCACGGCTCTCCTCTCGTCTTCCATGGGTCGAGAGCTCGGCGTCGTCTACATGCAATATGCATTGGACGACCTCGAGCGCTGGTACCTCGATTGGAAGATCCGAGTGAACCCGAACAAGACTCAGGCGATAACCATGGGAAGATTGATATCTTATCCGGCCAGAAAAGTTAGAATCTCTGGATGGCAGATTGACTGGCAAGCGCGAGTAAAGTACCTCGGCCTTCTAATAGAACGTAGGCTCACTAGGAACCCGCACATCATGTGCGTTAAATCAAAGATCGAGAGTCTGATAGTTAGTCAGTACCCTCTGATCAACAGAAAATCCAAAATGAGTCTAAAGAACTAAATTACCATCTACAATACGATGTTCAAGCCTGTCATCATATATGCTTCAGGCGTCTGGGGACAAGCGGCTACGTATAATATCTCCATTCTGGAGAGATTGCAAAACAAGTTAATAAGGGTGATTGTGAATGCTCCTTGGTTCGTGCGGACTGAAGCCATCCGCAGAGATTTACAGCTGCCTTCCATTCAGCAGTCCATTCAGTCGAGAAATCGGCGACCCCTCCCGATATAGAAGGCCCCGACACTCTGTCGAATGAGGCCCTTATGTCCCCCGTTAACAGGCGAACAGATTTTTCATCCATTCCATCCCAGCCAGGTAGGGGTACCCCGTGAAAGGCAGTACTGATGTCTGAGGACTTCATGCCGCCAACATCCCTTCAGTCATGAACCCATTTGTCCTTCTTCGACAAAATCAGCTAAAAGGGTAAGGGAGCTGGGCTCCAACCTGAATGAAATGAAGACACTTGGTTGAGTATGTCAAGATAGTCACGTTTCGCGGACAGTGCGGTACAGTGCGATCTAATAAGGCGATATACATTCAAATAATAGTTGTAGTTAGTGTTTTTTTGATTGATAGTGAAATAAAGTCAATTTTGATTATTGTTCAGTGTAGTCAATTATTGGTAAACCCACGGGGAAAAACGTAACACTATGATCAGGAACGACGAACACGCTGCACAAACTATATCTGAATATACGAAAGAGACAAAAGTTCACACAAAAAAAAACAAACTTAAAATAAATTGGAAAATAAATTAAGTGGTTCATTCGAAATAATCAAAGTTTATCGAAATTCAACAATGCTGGTTATTTGGATTAATCAAGTACTTATCAAGTTCCACGATAAATGTATTGCGAATAACTCAACAACTGCAGCTAATACAGAAGTATTATGTGAATGTACATCAGAAGCCTTTTTTCAGATACACTCCAGTTTCTAAGTCTTATCCGTCATCAATAACAGTTCGATTGGACTGTGGAGCTGGCGGATTACCCACACCAAATATTTCTTGGTTGATCGATGGACAACCCTTAAAGTTAGACTTTCGAGTTAAAATGCAAGATGATGGCTTAGTTATAGGTCAAACTTTTAGCCAGGACTCAGGTAAAAAATTTAAGATATGAATACTGTAATCTAACAATGTTTATACAATCAAACGAATACCTGAATGAAGTTTGTGTCTTAATTATATGGAAGCCTCATCAAAATAAATAAGAACAATTGTAGTACTGTCACTTGCATCTAATATCACCCATTTTTAAGCTAGATGACAACTTCATCTATTTTTTTTTCATACATGCGTCTTATTCTCATTATAATATACTCTTGTTGCATCTAGAGGGCAGTGCGAATGAGTTTTGGGTGGGTTCTTATTGATTTCGACAAGGGTTTTATATAGTTGTGATCGAACTTCACTCGGGTAAATGTGTTTGATCCTATAATTATATTTCGGCCTGGTACCATAAAATAAGTATAATTGTAGTTATTAAAGCATGATGCAACATGCAAGTTTTATTACCTAATGATATAATTAGTAATGAAAGTAAACCTAAACGTATTTCCTCAGAAGGTTATAGACAAAATACAAAACTATGAAAAATCAATATCTTTTTTACAAAACATAAACTAAATTCAAAAATCTTTCTTTGAAATTAATATTTCCCACTAATCGTTTTTGATAGAAGTCGCTAATCGTTTTGGATAGAAGTTTGCACAGGTTTTTGACTCTTCCCTCCAACCCACAGCTTTTACGATTGTATTTAAGCTGCACACCTGTTGATGAATTGTGGTGAAGTAGTACGGTAAGGTTTACAAGATAAAGAGGTGATCCGATGAGGTACTACAGAAGTTCTTCATTTTAATAATAAAAATAATCTTTACTTCAAAAATATGCCGACTATTACAGCTTGTACACAGACAACATAGAATGAAATGATGTCAAAAAAAACAAAATTTATGTGAATTTACTGGCATACAACCATCACATATACTCATATACATTATAATTCCGTTGGATTCAAATAATCGCTAACACCATATAGTTCTAAATCTATTAATTTTTTTTATTCCTTAGATTTATTTATGCTCCTCAAATCCTTGATTCGATTAGGCAATTTATTATACAGCTTCATTGACATGTAATGACAAGTTTTTTCAGTTATTGTTAACCTATGTATAGGCAGCATGAAATCATTTATTTGTGTTCCATAGAAATGTTGATTAATGTCATTAAATAACAAATGTCTATTTTTTAATAGACACATTAGTATTCATAAATATAAAGGGCGTATATTGTCATTATCCCATTATTCTTGAAAATATATCTACACGATTGATTATACTTCAAATTATTCATCATTCTGATAGCACTTTTCTGAATACCAAATATTTTTTTTGGTATCATTATTGCTTTCCCAAAATATAATTCTATATCTAGCTACATACTCAAAATTATTAGCAGAGTATAAAATTTTTACTAATTCTTTGTTGAGATATTTGTGAACCACCCCACCCCAAAAAAATCTCAGACTTCTTAGAGACATATTGATCGAAAATTCCTATCCCAGAAAATAGAAAAAACGATAAAAAATATAGGTTGCCATTTGAAAAAACACAGTTGGGATCCGCCCAGAAAAAATTGAACACCCTGTGTGATCGCCAATATTTTTATTTTGTCGAGCTCGTGCAATGAGGTAATATTATAGAAATTTAGATTCATATCAGTTTTCTCTGTTTCCTCAAGATATCTCAATGAAGAAAGGTATGTCGACGACGAAATAAAACACCTTACATTTGTGTTAGAAGCGAACGGCTACGACAGAGAAGACGTAATCCGCCCTACGGTCTTCAAAAATTTCCAAAAATCTAATAAAGTAGAAGTCTATTCAAGAAGGTATAATTCTGAGTAAATAAAATGCAGTAATCACTTGTGAACCTCAACATTTTTCTGTAAAAACAAGAAGACAAGTCAAATATAACACAACTGTTTTCATTGGTGATATTGTAATACTGTATAATGCAGATTCAATAAATTTTAAAATTCTCGTTGTGGTGTATATTTGTAGATGTGCAAAGAAGAGGTAGTATGACTCTCACTGGGTTATTTTCAAACCTTTGGAATGAAAAGCCAACTCATTTGTTTTCCAAATAATTCCATTATTTCTTTCATACTGACCATTGCCTTAAGAATAATATGCTGTGGTTCGACTTGTGGCAATATCGTTCGATTGAAAGATTCATTTAAGATCTGAGTACATAAATAAAGAACCATGAGCGGAATGATTATTACTACATAATCCAATTAGCGAAAAACGCATCGAAAGATGTTTGATACCAGTTACTGCAGATACGTAAGAACTTGGAAAAGCAAATGGAAATCTGAAATATTCGTCTACTGTCAACAGGTATCGATTTCTTGATGTAGGTGAAATCGAGAGCCAAACTTTCAAATTCAATTTGATTATTTGGCCTTGTGTTTTATAGAAACTGGGCTTCACTACAGCACAAACAGAATATGTTGGATACACTTCTCTTTATTTCCCTCATATTCTTCGAACATATCTTTTAGGTCATTCAAGTAACATCTGGGTGACAAAAGAGATTGATGGATATTGAACAAATATATGATGGAATCAGCCGGTACTTGATAAAAATGCATAACTAACGTATTCAAAAAACACTTTATTGTGAAATTTTCACTAAACGATTTTACAAAAACGCAACATGTGTTTCGCGAAACACGTGTTGCGTTTTTGTAAAATCGTTTAGTGAAAATCTCAGTGTTTTTTATTGAATTAATATTAATTTTAATATTGAACAACTCTGACAAGTCTCTGCTAGCACATACTTCGATAATGCATGGGCTATGACATGGTCTTTTCCACGTTGGTATGTAATATCGTATCGGTTTGCTTCAAATGAATTTATTCCCGATTCGCTGAACAAGACCCGGTTGAAGATATCTTCCATTACTTTCCATAAATTAAGTCTTATTTTGTTTATGTTGTTGTTATGAATAGATTGAATCAGAAGTTGGCTTCAACAACTATGATTTCTAAAATACGTATTCATACATGATGGAATAAATATACTTATATGATTTTCATCACACCTTAACTCTTCTCTTGCAACAGTGATGAAGTTTAAGTAACATCGCAATATAATTTTTCAAAAAATAATTTTCTTTGGGTAAGTTATTTGCAGTTTCAGAATTATTTTGATATCGAATTCTACAAATATAATAATTGTGATATCTTCTGGTGGTTTTAAGAGTCCTCCTTTATATTTTCTGTTCAACTGCTAAAACGTGAAAACATCTTTTGAATTGGATGTAATTGTCTGGTACCACATTTAAATTTTTTCAAATTTAAAAAGTAATCAACAGTAAAAGGAACACACTGCTTAACAAAGAAATCAAGCGAACACAATATAACAACCACCAAATAATCAGTAATGTATGTAATAAATACAAATATTTCACTTAAAAAACATACACTTATTTATTTGCATGCTATTTCCTGAGCTTTTCAATTAATTGAGTTTAAATTTTTGATTGCAGATGGGGAATCGGAAGTTGGTGGACCTGATTATTTTATGAAAGATAAGACCTACATTAATGCTGATGGTCTAAAAAGTCACATAAATTATACATTTTATGTTCGGGTGTATTCATTTGCAGCTAGTGATCCCTCAGAAAATATAACGTGTAAAACTGGTAAGTTACTGTAAATAAAAAGTTTTTTGTGGTTATTGATTGTACTGAAATTCACCTTACTAAATTTTCAGTCTAACATATTGCACTTATTAAGAAATGGTGTACTTTTTATGATATTCCTACTCTGTCATCACTGTTATCGACCACAATATATGAAAGGAGTGAGCCTGCAGGAAAGGGATACATACAATATGAAAAATCACATATCCTATCAACGCCATGTACAACGCCGATCAGGCGCCTTTCCAACCAGAAAGATAGAATTTTAGAGTTTTTACTAAACATTTTCACAAAAACGCAACACGTGTTTCGCCATACGATGACTTCTTCAGGCGTGTCTTTACTAACTAAATCTATATATTCGAAGATTCTCACGCACAAAGTATCATGAGTTGTTTTCTCAAGTTTTGCTTTGTGTTATATGTATTTTATCCTCATAAGGATTATTCTCACAACTTTGCCGAAACATTTCACCTAGCCAATTAATAATAGGGGAGTAGGGGAGCCCAAGCGGGGATTTCGGGATTTACTAAAGCGCGGCAGATTAATATACAGGGGGATACCAGGTTAAGTATCTCCACACCAAATATGAGCCCCATATATAAGGCCGCCCGTGAAGAATAAAGGATCAGATTAGTAAAAAATAATTGATAATCAGAAATTCTCGAGCTTGCCAGATTAAGGTAGGGTGAGTGAATTACATGCTAAAAAGTGTATATTCCAGTAATCTGACAATTTGAGAGTGACGTAAAGAAAGAGGAGGGCAGAAAAGTTGTAAAAAAAAAACGTCAATTCGACATTCTCGAGCTTAGCTTTTTTTTTTATTTTGAAGAAAATAATTCAAAGATAACGAAAAATATATAATCTGACGATTTCCGCAAGCTGAAATAACAAAAATTCGTCGATAAAGTTTAATATGTGCAGCTGTGATACCTATATTTTTCTCTCCGAGTTTCTATTCCTCTATTCT